AATCAGGGAAAGCTAAATCGTGGACATTCTTAATCGAATATACTCTATCTCTTTAGCAGAAAAAAAGGCAATTTCCATAAAATCCGTTCCCTGTTTATAACCTAATCGCAGCGTATGTATGGAAAGACATACATACATACATTAATTTAATTAAACTTTCCTAATACGTGATAACTCTTAAAATAGTAGCCCATTTTCCAACATAGGTCATAAGCTATCTCTGTGCGAAATGTCATGCAAATCTGTTCAGTCGTTTCCGCGTATTAATTTAATTAAAACTTTTTTAACAGGTGGCAACTCTTCTAAAAAATTAGCCTATTTTCCACTGTAGGTCATAAGCTATCTGCTTGCAAAATTTGATGCAAATCCGTTCAGACTTTTCCGCGTATTAATTTAATTAAGCTTTTTTAGCAGGTGGTAACTCTTAAAAAAGTAGCCCATTTTTCAACCTAGCTCATAAGCTATCTGTGTGAAAACTTCCATGCAAATCAGTTCACTCATTTCCACGTATTAATTAAATTAAACATTTCTAACAGGTGGCAACTCTTAAAAAACGTAGCCTACTTTCTAACCTAGGTATCTGTGTGCAAAATTTCATGCAAATCCGTTTAGTCGTTTCCGCGTATTAATTTCATTAAACTTTTTTAACAGGTGGCAACTCTTTCAAAAAATTAGCCTATTTTTCACTGCAGGTCATAAGCTATCTGCTTGCAAAATTTCATGCAAATCCATTCAGTCGTTTCCGCGTATTAATTTAATGAAACTTTTTTAACAGGTGACAACTCTTAAAAAAATAGCATATTAACCAATCTCGCCCATAAGCTATCTGCGTACAAAATTTCATGCAAATCCGTTAAGTCGTTTCCGCGTGATGATTTCCCAAACATCCAAACATACAAACTTTCACATTTATAATATTTATAAGATTTGTACACGATGTTTAGGTTTTGTTTTCTGGCCGCTTATTGTAATCTTTTGATTGTTTTTTGAGCTCTAGGCCGAGGGTAAATAAAACAATTGGATGTCTTATATTCCTTTTTGTTTATTACTGTCGATATTTCGCCTTTAATCTAAAGGCATTTACAAAACGTACAACAAAATAGTTGCGTTTTGCAGGATTTAGCCCGAAAAGCGTTCCAGCAGACAAATTTCCTGCAATTTCCTGTAACTGAGAGTACTTCTGTGAGAGTGCTTACTCTCAGTAAGAAGTTGCAGGATTTAGTCCGAAGTTTTTCTTCCGGCAAATTCATGAAAACTGTCAAATGAAGAGCAGGGTTGCACTCGTAAACAACAAACGAAAGAACTAAAACAAATATTTTTAGCAAAATAGAAGCCAATTGCGGCGAAATAGCAAAATATTTTAAGCGTAAGTGTATCTTCTAATGAAGGAATTTTTTTATTGTCTTTATGTATTTTAAGGCAATGAATTCCAATATTCTTGAAGGCCGTGATAACGACAACATTTTACACGGTGTTGTGACAGAACTTATGGACGAATCGGATGATGAGATATACCAATTTATAGCGGAGAATTCTGACACTGAAGATGAGGCCATTATTGGAAAAATAATAAAAGTTTTGAAAAGAACACCAAGGAACAGCATTCAAAACTATTTCGAGGTTGTAATGTCCACATATACAGGCGAGGAATTCATAAAGCATTTTCTTACGAAAATCTACGCGCGCCTAATCGCTTGTCAGCAGCCAAAAGTCTAGCCGTGTTTCTCTGGTTTGCCGGGCATGAAGCGTGTAGCTATCGTGACTTGTCTGATCGCTTCAATATTATAATATCTAGCGTTTGCCGTACTATTGAAAGACTCTCGATGTTTATAAGTGGGATGAGCACTGAATGTATTAAGTGGCCCAGCAATGAGAGGAAAGAAGAATCCGCCAAATATTTTTCCAAGTTTGGTTTTCCGAAAGCAATAGGTAATAGAAACATTCAGCCAAAGATGAATTTACAAATATACATACATAATAGAGCTGTTCAGGATCTTGTGCATATACTCTTGCATTTGCATATTCGTTGCATTTGTAAATTCACAATAAAATGCACACGGTTGCCATGGCAGCAAGCATAAAATTTGCAATAGGAATTCCAACTGCGAATCCAAGACCATTTCCACAACATCCTGAACCGCCGTAATATGTATATTTTTAATAACTATATTAAATATTTCCATATATGTGCATTTGTGTTTTAAAATAAGGGGACGCACATAGTGATCGACCCTCTCGCTGAACGCAAAGACGACTATATTGACCGGAAAGGCAACGTGACACTTATTATGCAAGCATTTACTGATGAAAGGAAGAAGTTTATTGATGTTTTCATAGGATTTCCGGGTTCAAGTCACGACAGTTGGGTTCTCCAAAACTCTAGCGTATATAGGAATTTATCATCTTTATGTGGAGGTAATAATACATGATGCGTACATTGATTCAGTTTAAAACTGTCTATATTCCTTAGGCTACTATTTGCTTGGGGACTCTGCTTATCCATGTAGTGACTTTATTATTACGCCATTTAAAGATAATTGACATTTAACAACTGACCAAAAGTATTTTAACTTACAACTAAGCAAAGGTCGCGTCACAGTGGAGCATTCGTTTGGCATACTGAAGCAACGATTTCGACAATTATACTACTGCAACTTGAAAGGCAATAAAAAGTTGTGCCATTTCTTAGCAGCGTGTTGTGTCTTGCATAATATTACCAATGAAAATGATTTTGAATTTGTAAACGAGGTTAGCAATGAGGAGTCAATAGAAAATGAGAGCTACGAACCAATAAGAAGTAATCATGTTAGAAACCTTCTTTGTATTGAAATGAGAAATAAAAGACGGCATTAAACTAACAGCCCTATTCCGCCACACTGACAAAACTCACCGCGATGACAATTGATCTAAAAATGACAATTGCAGCTTTTTGGTATTCGCAGCAAAATTCAAAAGCTCGAATCATGCCAATTGTCATTTTTATTGTCATGACCTTTTGGGCAGGTGACAAGGCAAAAACATATGTTAGTGTTGGTTTAAAAAGTGCGACAATTTAATAAATTTGTGAAAAAAATATAAAAATCAACTAATTTCAATGGCAGAAGAAATTTTAGTTGTTTGCGCAGCCGTGCTTGTGGAAGACGAGCAGCTCCGGATGCTCCCTACAAAACTGCACATAAAATTGGAGCTGCTCCTACGTCGTCCGCTTATATTTTGCACGTCTAATTTTACGAATTTATCTATTTCACACAAATACTCACTTTTCTGGTGTTTCACCGCTCATATTTTTTGCAAATAATAGCGTTGACCAGCTGTTTCTACAACAATGAACTTTTCAACATGCATGGTAAGTTGACAAAAGCTTTTCGCTTGTCATTCTTTGTTAGGAATAGCAACGTGCAACGACAATGACAAAATCACGACAATGAAGGATGATCAATTGTCATTCTGTTGCAAAACCGGAATAGGGCTGTAAGTTTGGATTAAAGGCCTGCAAATGTTGAACTAAAGAACATAGCGACATGTGTCACATCATGCATCATGAATCATGTTTGAAATTATTTTAGAAAATCAAAATCGTTGAATTTTTCTTAATTTTGTATAAAACTTAATCTTTAATTTATATGATTTTGTTTTAAGCATGATCCATATTTTCATAAATAATGAACAAATTTCAGCTTGTAAAATATTTATTGATTATTTGATGTAAATTTTTCGAAATTTGATTTTTGTGAACTTTGTGGAAGCTTTGAAACATTAATTTTTGTGTTTTCTGTTATAAAATTATATTTTAAATTAAAATTATTAAAATTAAAGACGATAAATAAATAAACATAAGTTGCAAACAATACCACTATGAATTTTGGTGTTGTTATTTCGATAGCGAGTATATATTGCATAGTATAAAAGATTTAAAAATTAAAAAATATTTATTTTAAAAAGAACTTTATATATCGTCACCTGAGTGGAAGATAGATCTATCTCGGTAGCCAGTTCGAAAATGCCATATATCAGTAAACTTTTCAAAAACGCCTTACTTCAGAATTTGATTGATTGAGTAGGGCGTTCTTGAAAAGTTTTCTGATATAGGGCGTTTTCAAACTGGCTACCGAGATAGGTTTATCTTCCACTCAGGTATCGATATGCATGTACATATGCTTATTTAATTTTTATTAAGGTTTTAAAAATAAATTTTTTTCTCTGCATTTCAAAGCCATAAGTATATTACATATTTATTTTTTAGCTATAATTTCCAATAATTCTAGCTTTCGGTTCTCCCGTTCCTCTTTTTTCTGATCCCTTTCCTCTTTTTTCTTTAGAAAGCCCAAAACTTGTTCGTAGTATTCCTTTCTTTCCTCAGCTATATTTGTAAGTATTTTTTGCAAATCGTCAATACCGGGTTTTCGCTTCTTCGCTGATGAGCAGCTTGGAATATCATCTTATAAGAATTACAGGGATGTATGTATGATATACATATGTACATATTTCTGTGGATATATATGTACCTGCAGCAGACTGCTCTACATCCGAATTTATTTCCGTATTCGTAGTCTGTGTGTCAGAGCTTTCCCAAATAAATTCTGGATTGATGCTCCGCTTTTCAGCTAGAATAGCATCTAGCTCACTGTAAAGTTTCTTAGTTATTTACTGCTGTTTCTTCTGGTAGTATGGATATGTGTTTTGAAATGAATTTCGGTCATCCGACATTGAAGATGACCCAACGCCAAAACCAGTTCTTCTGCAAACCAAATTTGACAAGGGATGATGGATATTCGTTCCAAAATAAAATAAAAAAGCAATAATTATAATTATTCACTAGCCTTTGGTAAAGGCATGTTTGTCTACTTCGACCGCTCTGCCTGTTATTCAGAGTAACTCGTTTATATTGCCGCTCCAATGATCTAAATTTGTTTTCTATTTGCACTGTATTAAAGTTGTATCCCTTCTCCTTCATCGTCTGCTCGATGATTTTCCACATCTTCGTCTTATTCTTCAGAGACGCAATTTTTCCAACTTTAGGGCGGAGCTCTTCCAACAAATTTAACATCAGTTTCGTCGGAGCATCGAGCCACACCTGCCTTTCGCCTTGCACTATCGGTACAAAGTCTTCGTCTTCACCCAGCCCCCCATCTAAAAATGTTTACAAACATTAATGATATACATACATACATACTCTATAAGAGTCATGTTTTCGTATTTTCTGCAAATAGTGACTAGTAAAAATGTATGCAATAAAAATCCGGTAAAACTTGCAAGTTCATCTGTCATTTCCCCTACTTTGCTAGTTTCTTTTGAGTTTTGGGGTACGAAAACGCCAGCCAGCAAGATTCCAATAAAATTATTACTGGGTAGGGTGCAAACAAACAACTAATACCAATACTTACCTATAGTAGAAAACGTCTGGCTATCTGTATGCTCCTCAGGTTGGATGCTTGCTCCTGATGCTTCCTCGGGTTGGATGCTTGCTTCTGACGCTTCCTGTGTATGTACTTTTAATAAAAATAAGGTAAAATTTGTTTTATTAAACCCCAAAATGTATCAAGAATGACCCTTTACCTATTTGACTACCTCACCATAAACTGCATTATGTGCTTGAAGCGCATTATCAGCTAAACTTTGCATAAATTCTTGATCTGCAAATAGTTATATTATCAGTTGTTATTGTATCGTGCAATAAATAATGCCACTTACCATTCTGAACTCGGTTGAAAGTTCCAGGAGATAAACCAATTTCTAAGTTTTTGGGTTCCATTTCTTCCACTTACGTGATTTCACCGTGCTTCTAATTTTCAACAATAGGAGATCTGATTTTAAGTTTTTGGATAAAATTCTGAAAATATTTTTTAGATACATAACCAATAAAAAATTTTGTGTGTAAAAATTTTGCCGCCTGCCTGAATAAATAATTCTGTCAAGGCAAGCATTTGACATTTATATACATACATACTTGCAGGAAAAATGGTTTTTTGCGTTCCAGCAGTTTTTCTCAGTTCTTCACCCGTTGCTCTCTCTTGAGAGAGACAGTTTTCTTTTTGACAGTTGTACAGGTTTTAGTCCAAAAATCGCTGGAACGCACCTAATACAACTTACAATCTTCGCTTTGCCTGGTAGACTAAACATATGCGCGAAAATGCATTAACAAACAAACTTGGTGACTGTAGGTATAAGCATGAGAATGTAAACAATTCAAAATACAGTAATCATAAACAAAAACATACAAACAACAATACATGAAGCGATAAACACTAAGACGAAGAATTTTATGTATGTATCATCCCAACATTACATTATTGTTGTCCGCAGAAATGTTGTTTTTTCATGAACACCTGACACCTACACTATTGATTGTTGTGGTGGGTGAGAACTATATTGCGATACACATGAGCGCAATTATCGGTGTCTGTTTTAAAATTCATCCTTTTATTATTAGGGGTGTTCATGATATGTAGCATCTCCAAAACATATCGTTTATTATAATTTTTCTCTTGTTGCAAGATAGCTACATTTTCAAAGTCAGGGTAATGTCCGATTTCCTGACAGTGAGATGACAAGGCTGCCTTATTTTACGACGAATTGCTTCTTAACTTAATATTGTCCTTGTCTTTAGTTTAGATTTTGTAGTCCCCACATATACCATATTGCATCCGTGGGACCAGTCGAGTGTTATTCTATTGTTCTTTCTTATTATTAGGGTGTCCGGATACGGCAATTGTCCATTTTTGTTTTTATTTCGATTGTAAATTTCATTGTTTTATTATAGTTGTTTAGAGTGTTGAGCATCTTGTCCATACCCTGTAGGGAAAACACGAACTAGTGAACCAAATTTCTAGTTCAGTACTAGTTCTTTTTCGCCAAAAACGAACCAGTCCGATAGAAAATAGTCCCGAACCAGTCCAAAAGCAGTGAAATGTGGTACTTTCACTAAACTATTTTATTTCAAATTTTAAAAGCAGGGAAGGTAATCATTATGAGTAAAATAATTTAAAGCAGCATTTAATCATTATTTTATGAATTATTATTGAGTTTTATTTTTTCGCTCAAACGGAAATAATTATTATTTGATTTTTATTTTTGGGATTACAAATAATGATTTTTTTATGATATTTATTTTTTCGCGCAGAGATTATCATTAATTTTGAGTTTTATTTTTCCTCTTAAAAATAATGATAATTTATAAAATTGAAAAGGCCATACAGACGCATCCTACTGAAATTTTGACCTGAAAAGTTTGGGTCTTATTCTTCTTATAAGGGAGCGGCTACCTCTCAAAAGGATACGTCGGTAATCACGCTGGTATAGTTTTTGAGTTGCTTAATAATCATTATACTTAGTGATTCCATAAACAAAGGCCAAGATCCTGAAGGACAATTGAGAAAGGCAATGCAGTTGCAGAAAAAGAGGCATTTAAAAAAAAAGTGTCAAAACAATTATCACTTCCTCACTAAATTTATTTAAAAATGCAAGCCACCAGAGCGACATTTTTTTTAAGAAAAGAAAAATTAATATTTTTTTATGCAATCCAGCACAGCTACCTTAATACAGTCAGTCAATAAAGTTTAGGTATAACGAATTTTTTACAGTACGGGCAACTATTTTTTAAATATTTTAGTTTTCGGTAATTTTTTATAAAAATATGGTCAATTCTACAACAAAATCCCAAAAAAAGAATTTTTAATAAATGCGTTTGAACATTTGTGATTGTATTGTCCTTCCTACAATAACTACATATAAAAAATGGATGCAGATCGAACTAGATCTCATCTGTCGAATTTGGAACTGGTTCGGAACTATAGAAAAAGGGATGCAAAACGAACTAGATCTTATCTGTCGAATTTAGAACTGGTTCGGAACTAGAGCCAAAGGGATGCAACGGGGGACAATTGACACTTCCTAGAACATCGCAATGTTAAATCCGCCAGTCGCTAGCATGCAAAGAGAATTAACGCGTACTAGTCATGGTTCCAAACGCACTAGAACCGAACCAGTTCCGCACTATTTCGTTTCCCTACAGGGTATCTTTTGTTTTGATAATTGCAAATAGGTCATCTACGTGTTTTGTTAATAATCGTTGTTTATTGTTAGAGTCTTTCTCGAAATTCGTCAATAGTTCCTCCATAACTATGTCTGCTATCACGGGTGACGGTGGTGAACCCATAGCCATTCCTGACCTTTGCTCATATATCTTGTCATTATACTTGAAATAGCGGTTTTCTTTTATACAAAATTTTAGTAAGATTAAAAATAGATCCTTAGTTAACGGTGTGCGCTCCTGTATAGAACTCCATTTTGAGTCTATGATCTCTATGGCAAAATGTACTGGTATACTCGGAAACAACGAAACAACATCAAATGATACTAAACTTTCATCGTCATAAATTAACGTACTTCCAATATTTTCTCTGAATTTCATGGCGTCCTTTACATTATATTTTGACGATTTTGTTAGATTTTTAAGTATACGGACAACATATTTACATAAGTTATAACACAGTGAGTTAATGGACGAACATATAGGTCTCAAAGGGATTCCTTCTTAATGGATTTTGGGTAATCCGTAAATTCTTGGGAGGTTCGCGGTTTTGTTAGAAAGTAAGTGCTTTTCCCTTAAATCAATCATTTTGTTTTTGTATATTCGCTCTACAATTTCATTATTTTTGTCTTGTAGTTTATTCGTCGGGTCGCGCTTTAAAACCCGGTAGGTGGAGATGTCATTTGCAATCTTTTGCATCTTCATATCATATTCAGATTTTTCCATCATAACAGTAACTTTCCCTTTATCGGCATTGAATCAAATGTTGCTTATTGGTTTTTAAGAATGTCTTAGCAGAATGGAGCGTGTCGCGAATAAACCTATCTCTCATTGTATTTTTCGTCCTATTGAGATGGTCACGTATTAACATCGTTAAATTGTTTCCTTCAATTTCTTGTTTTTCCATATCCTTAATCGTCTGTATGCAATTTTCCCCGTCTGCAATAATTTTCATTAATGGAAACTCTTTCTTGGTCGTTGGCAAGGCAAATTTTGGACCTAATGAGATGAGCCCCTGAACCTCCTCTGGAATTTCTGAAATTGTAGTATTGTAAAACCGCTCTGGTACACCCTTAATATTTAGTAGTTGTTTTTGTTTGTCTCTTAGTTTTTCGTACTTGCTTGTTTGTCTTTTCTTAATATTTGTCATTAGGTTATTGTTTATTGCGTTTTCACTTTCAAAAAATGCATCGGAGTCACGCCTATAGAGTTGTTGTTTAATCTGCGCCTTCAGTATATTTACCTTGTTACTTTTTTGCCGGAGTAGTTCGTGTTTGATACTGATGAGAATATTCAAGAGTTTACTTTGAACCTTTTGGACGTAAACTGACACTGAGTTGGTGATTTTTTTTGCATCTTATTATTGCTGGAGTTATTGCTAATTATGTAGATAATGTTTTTAGTAGCGTTGTTAATAAAATTGGAAGTTATGCCGCTCCTTCTGCACCTTTCCAGGAATTTGGTTGATTCTGCCATTCTAGTAATTTTTGTTGTTGTATTTTGATTGCTTTTGATATTTTTTCTGGTTTTGACGTCATAATTGTGCTTGATGTTTGNAAGTTATGCCGCTCCTTCTGCACCTTTCCAGGAATTTGGTTGATTCTGCCATTCTAGTAATTTTTGTTGTTGTATTTTGATTGCTTTTGATATTTTTTCTGGTTTTGACGTCATAATTGTGCTTGATGTTTGTGTAGACCTTAGATGTGTGTTGGTCACTGCGGTGTGCTCTCCGATTGAACATGTTTAGGTTTTGTTTTCAGGTCGTTTATTGTAAACTTCTGGTAACAAGTTCCAACCCATGACCATGCATAAATCGTTCAGTATCAACGTTTTAATTTTACTAGCCTCTTTTCGAGAGCATATTTTCGGGCACTGGGCCCATTCTTACTGCCCAAGACAGGTATGTAATTAAGGGAATGTTCCCCAATAATACCAGAGTAATTATGTGTAAAAAACTAATTTTTAGCTGCATTTTAACATGTCAAGAAAATAAAAAAATTGAAAACAGCGTTTTTATAAAAAACTGACCAGCGCGACCTCTAAGAAAACTTTTTTTCAAAATAAAAAAACACGTTTCTCTCTTTCTATCACAAATAACAATATTTGAGGTAGCGTTTATGAATTTCCAAAAAAAAAAAAAAATGTTTGAACCACTCTAATGCATACATATACAAATAACTAGTTACAAAACGTACATCAAAACACAACTTACAATCTTGGCTTTGCTCATGATGCAATAATACAAGGTGGTATCAGTTGTGACAGCTCGATTTGACACTGCCTTAGCTCAGTGGAATGAGAAGAAAAACGGGAAGAAATGAATCCCCATATGGGGGAAAAATATAAAATTTCACATTTTCTCCTTAACAAAATTTGCTTTTTTGTAGTATATTCGTTATGAAATTAAATAAAATAAGATAAAATACCTTTTTAAGAAAACAAAGTGTGTATACTGAGAAAAAATAAAAAACATTCAACTATATTAATGGGCAAAGAATAGTTAAAGAAGTAACACTGTTTCACGTAAGGCAGTCAATATGGCGGAATTAGAGCGAGAAGTTGCCAACTGATAACACCTGTATTATTGCATCATGGGCTTTGCCTGGTCGACTAAACATATGCGCGAAAATGCATTAACAGACAAACTTGGTGACAATAAGTATAAGCACGAGAATGTAAACGATTCAAAATACAGTAATCATAAACAAAAAACATACAAACAACAATACATGAAGCGATGAACAGTAAGACGAAGAATTGTATGTATGTATCATCCCTCCATTACATTATTGTTCTC